GTTAACAGCATCGAAGCTTTGGCATGACACAAACCTGGGGTCAAAGTTTCCCTTCAGTTAACTTGGGGCTGCGTGATATCCACCAAGCTTTCTTCATGTATAAAATAAGGATGACTAACAGCACAGCATCTAGGACCTGCAAACCAGTCAACACAGGCTGACTATCAGAGTAACAATTGGGGGGTTGGAAGGTGTAGCTCAGTGGTTGAGACAGTGCTCGGCATGCCCAAGGCCCTGGGTTGGATCCCCAGTGCCAAGCTGTTATATTATCATCACCATCTTTACTGGAATAAGAATGTGCTTGTGTGTTTTTCTTTTTTCTTGAAGGGCCTGATACTAAGCACACACTTTACCACTGATTACACCTCCAACCCAGATGTGATAATTTCTATGAATCTGTCCCTACACAGGAACAAATTTATTTTTTCCAGATGATTTTCACTTAGCAAAGAGAGACTTTTTTTTTTTTTTTTTTTTTTTTTTGGTGCTGGGGATCGAACCCAGGGCCTTGTGTATGCAAGGTAAGCACTCTACCAACTAAGCTATATCCCCAACCAAGACTATTATTAAAAACTTTTTCATAGGCCTTGAATTTTTTTCATATCTTTTAGCTAAATGTGAGAATCTTAAAGAAATCATCCTCATCAGAGGAGCTGTTATGACAGCAAAATACTAAAAGAAACTTAAATAGCCAACAGAGGTAAGGTCACATAAACTGTAATTTGCAGTCATCATTCAAAGAATGAAATATTACACAGCCACTGCACATGACTTTTAAAAACAAACAAACAAAAAACAGTTATTTTGTAATACTAACATAGCCAGATGGAAAATATATCGACCACATGATCTCAAAGGATGTATACAAAAAAAGCAAACCATTGTTTCCATTAAAAATAATGGCGAAAATAGACCAAAATCTTCAAACACAGGTTTAGGTCATCTTTGAGGCAACAGATCAGTGATCATTTTTTCTTCTCTTCTGCTTTTCTGTCTATTTTCCAAATATTCTATAATAGGAATTTTTTAAAGTCGGTTTTTAAAAGTGTGTTTTGTTAACTTTTCAAATCCTATTTGAAGGGTTTCACCATACCACCTCCTCAGTCTTCTTAATCCAAACACTTCAGCTTCCGTACACAAAGTGCGGTCCTGGTACAAGCCACATAAAAAATGCAAGCTCTCAGCCTGAGTGGTGGTGCATGCCTGTTATCCGGGCAACTCAGCACACTGAGGCAAGAGAATCGCAAGTTCAAGCCAGCCTCAGCAATTCATCGAGGCCTTAAGCCAATTAGCAAGACATTGCTTCAAAATAAAAAAATTAATAGGCACCCCTGGGTTCAATCTCCAGTACCACCAAAAAAAAAAAAAAAATGCAGACTCTCAGGCCTCTTCCCAGAGAAAGGAAATCAGAAACTGCATGTTAGCAAGACCCCCAGGGTAAGGTTACCCCAGAAGTAAAAACATAAGAGAAACTTTCTCTGATGGTTCCATTTAAACCTGATCTGAAAAGGGATCTCACCTGCATAACATGAAGCATGTTGCAACCTCTCAGTGCCTCAGTGTTCCCCAGCAATAAAATGGGCATATTAAAATTAACATAGCACCTGGAGAGTATGGAGGAAACAGCTGGGGTGCAGTAAGCCATTGTCAATGGGGCAGGTAAATATTTCTTCTTGTTTGGCCTGTTTCACAGGCCAGGAGCTCTGTGAGAGCTGGGAGTTCCTGCACAGTGCTTGACACATAGGAGCACTCAGCAGTGAGCACAGTTGGCATTTATCAATATCTGACTGGACTGTCCTATTCGCTAGTATTTATCACTCTCAAAAACTGTCAGTTTTCACTGGGCGTGGATGCACACTCCTGGGAAGGCTGAGGCAGGATGATCACAAGTTCCAGGTCATCCTGTGCAATTTAGCCAGACCCTGTCTCAAAATTTTAAAAAGATTTAATGCAATTCCTATTAACATTCCAATGACATTCTTCATAGAAATAGAAAAGGTGATCATGAAATTCATTTGGAAAAACAAGAGGCCCAGAATAGCTAAAGCAATCCTTAGCAAGAAAAGTGAAGCAGGAGGTAACACAATACCAGACCTTAAATTATACTACGAAGTTATAATAACAAAAACAGACATGAAGACCATGGTACAGAATAGAAGACACAGAGAAAAACCCACATAAATACAGTTACTTCATACTAGACAAATGCCAGAAATGGACATTGGAGAAAAGATAGCCTCTTCACCAAGTGGTTTAGGGAAAACTAGAAATCCATATGCAGCAAAATAAAATTACACTCCTGTCTCTCACCTTGCACAAAACACAAAGTGGATCAAAGACCTAGCCATTGGACAAGAAACCCTGTGCTGACTAGAATAAAAAGGCTCAAATCTCCCTTATGTCAGTTTAGGAACCGAATTCCTCAACAAGACTCCTAAAGCACAAGAAGTAAAATCAAGGATCAATAAATAGAATGGTGTCAAACTAAAAACTTCTTCACAACGAACGAAACAATCAAGAATGTGAACAGAGAGCCTACAGAATTCGAGAAAATCTTTACCACCTGCACCACAGAGCATTAATCTCCAGGATATATAAAGAACTCAAAAAAACACCCCCCCCCCAAAAAAAAACCCAATCAATAAATGGGCAATGGAACTGAACAGACCCTTCACAGAAGAAATAACGATCAATCAACAAATATATTTTTAAAAAATGTTCAACATCTATAGCAATTAGAGAAATGCAAATCAAGACTACACTGAGCAGGGCAGTGGTGTACACCTGAAGTCCCAGCAGCTTGGGAGGCTGAAGCAAGAGGATCACGAGTTCAAAGCCAGACTCAGCAACTTCGAGAGTCCCTAAGGAAATCAGAGACCCTGTCTCTAGATAAAGTATATTTAAAAAAAAAAAAAAGGCGGGGCTGGGGATGTTGCTCAGTGGTTAAGCTCCCTTGGGTTCAATCCCTAGTATGAAAAAAAATAAAGACTACACTGAGATTTCATCTCATTCTAGTCAGAATGGCAATTATCAAGAATACAAGAAGCAAGCTGGAGTTATAGCTCAGTGGTAGAGCACTCGCCCAGCACGTGCTAGGCGCTGGGTTCGATCCTCAGCACAACACAAAAATAAATAAATAAAATAAAGATATTGTGTCCAACTATAACTAAATATACACACACACACACACACACACACACAAAGAATACAGGACATATAAAGAATACAGGTAACAACAAACATTGCTGGTGGGACTGCAAATTGGTGCAACACTCTGGAAAGCAGTATAAAATTCCCTCAGAAAACTTGGAATGGAACAACTATTTGACCCAGTTATCTCACTCCTCCGCATATATCCAAAGACTTAAAATCAGCATACTATAATGATACAGCCACATCAATGTTCAGAGCAGCTCAATTCACAATAGCTAAGCTATGGAACCAAACTAGGTGCCCTATAACGGATGAATGGATAAAGAAAATGTGGTATATATACATAATGGAACATTATGCAGCCATAAAGAAGAATGAATTATGGCATTGCTGAGAGCCACAGCTGAGTCGGAGTGGCCCCTGGCATTTTGCCAATAGTACTGATTGACAGGCGAGGCATTACTAACCGCCTCTGCAGCTACTTTGCAGTTCTCACACTACTTTGGAGTTCTCGTGGGGATTGAATGAAAGGCCAAATGTTCTCTCTGATATGCAGAACTACTAACACAAAATAAAGAGGAGGGGGCTATCCAGTTCATTGGATTAGACAAAGGGGAATGAAGAGAAGGGAGGGAAATGGGTATAGGAAAGACAGTAGAATGAATCAGACTTTCCTTTCCTATGTTCATGTATGAATACACAACCAGTGTAACACCAAGTCATGTACAAAAATACATTCTACCATCATGTATATCCAAAAAGAACAAATGAAAAAAATTTTAAATTTTTTTATAAAGCGCTGGAGATGTAGTTCACTGGTAGAGCACCCCTGGATTCAATTCCTGGTAGGGCAAAAAATAAAACCTGTCCATTCAAATAAGAGAATGCCAGCTCTCAACTCCGACAGTGAGGAGGTAGGCAAGTTGAAGGTCATTATACCATAAAAAATTTACACTAGGGGCTGGGGTTGGGGCTCAGTGGTCGAGCGTTTGCCTAGCATGTGTGAAGCACTGGGTTCCATCCTCAGCACCGCATATAAATAAATTAATAAAATAAAGGTCATCTTTTTAAAACAAAATTTACCTAAAGTTTTCTTTAATTACCAACGTGTAACACTACACCACCCATCCTACCGCCTCCATTATAACCCCACCCCATTTCCCCTAAGCCACGCCCCAATTCCCCCTGCCCCTCCCCTCCCGTGGTCTCCACCCTCAAGCCTGTCCTTCTTCCCCACCCACCTCAAGCCTGCGCCCCGCCCCTCAGCTCTGGCCCCGCCCAGCCACGGGGTGCGCCACCACAAGCTCCGCCCAGTCCACGCCCCGGCCGCCGCCGCGTGCGTAGCCCCTGCGCTCCTGCGCTTGGCGCGCGGCGGTCTCCTCACCACTTGGGGGCCCACAGTCGGGCCCTGCGGTGGGGGTGCGGGACCGCCAGCGGAGGCCTGAGCTAGAGATAGGGCCCGGGGTGGTCGGGGAGGAGGCGTGGGTCTCCGGAGGCCTTGCCAAAGGGGCGAGGGCGGTGGGGCCCTGAAGAAGGCCGCGCGCCGGTACCAAACGGCTGAGTGCCGGAGGGGAGTGCGGGGCTGGGGCCGGCTGTTACCGACTCGGTCAGCAGAGCCGGTCTTGGAGGTGAGGGAGCCTGTGAATGGGTATCGTGCCCCTTGGTGCGCCAGGCCTGCGCTTCGCGTGGCGAGTTGAGGTGTCCTCGGGCCCAGGCTCCCGACTCCAGAAACAGGCCGAGCAGCCGGGAGCGAGCCCGCCTTCGCCCGGGAGAAGCCGGACGGAGCCCTGCGAGGGGAGCGCGAGCCCCCACTGACCGCCTGCTCTCTCCTAGTTAGACTCCGGCCTTGGAAAAGATGGAAGGCGAGGGGCAGCCGGGGTCGGGCCCGCCCGCCGAGGGCCTGCTCGCCGACGGGCACCTGATCCTGTGGACGCTGTGCTCGGTGCTGCTGCCCGTGTTCATCACCTTCTGGTGTAGCCTGCAGAGGTCGCGCCGGCAACTGCACCGCAGGGACATCTTCCGCAAGAGCAAGCACGGGTGGCGGGACACGGACCTGTTCAGCCAGCCCACCTACTGCTGCGTGTGCGCCCAGCACATTCTGCAGGGTGCCTTCTGCGACTGCTGCGGGCTCCGAGTGGACGAGGGCTGCCTCAAGAAGGCCGACAAACGCTTCCAGTGCAAGGAGATCATGCTCAAGAGTGAGGGCAGGGCCCTGGATGTCATGCCCCACCACTGGATCCGAGGCAACGTGCCCCTGTGCAGTTACTGTGTGGTGTGCAAGCAGCAGTGTGGCAGTCAGCCCAAGCTCTGCGATTACAGGTATGGCCTTTGTAGGAACGCTCCATGGGAGAATCACTGCCATGTTTTTGTATCTGTGGGAGTCAGGTTTTCTTTTTTTTTTAATATTTATTTTTAGGCGTAGATGGACACAACACAATGCCTTTATTTTTATGTGGTGTTGAGGATGGAACCCGGGTCCCGCCCCCCAGGAGTCAGGTTTTCTTGAAGGCGTGTAAAGGCCTCCTGTAATCACAGCCGTTGGCCCGCCCGAACTGCTCTGGACAGACACTTCTGATGTTGTGGAAAACGGCCTTTGCAGTAGTCTTGCTGAGAAGAGGCTTCTCTCCTCTGCTTCTTTGCCAGCATGCCCTTTGGGGCAATAAAACTTGACTCTTATCTTCCTTAAGTGCTACCTGCATCTTGGCCATTGTATGTTTCTCCAGTTTACATAAGAAAAAATGAAATATGGCCAAATAAATTTTCCTTTCAATCACAAAACTGATTCATCCTTGGCTTTGTATTGTAAAAAGAAGTGTAATTCCAGGGCAGCACTTTAACTGTATTTTGCTATGGGTGCCATAGTGAAACACATTTTAAAAAAAAAAAAAACCAACACTGAAATGAAAACTCCTCTTGAGTTTCAAGATGGTCTTGCAAGACTGTGTAGTATCTTAGATACACGACTTTGATTAAACCAAGAATATTTCAGTGGCTTCTGCATACACCATGGACAACACATTTATGTGGTTAAGTAGTGTCTGAAATAGATGAAGATATACCTCCTCTTGTTAGAGATTGGTAGAATGGAATGATGTCTTGCAGGTCATCTGTTCTAACTCATTTCACAGTTGAGGAAATTAAAGGTAAAATGGGACTGACTTACAAAGGAATTCTTACCCCCAGAACAGGATTAGGAATGCTGATACCAAGCCTTCCATAAGTCTGGACATCTTCATTGTAATGGGGTTTGTTTCTGATAAGTATAAAAGCTTATGAACATACTTACAAGCTGTAGTAGAAAGCTGGGACTAAATAGGATAAGCCACTTTTTTATTTTTTGTAGAACAAGCTCTCTGTTTTGTTTTTTGGCATGAGCACTGGTATGTCAATACTGGTTTTTAAATCTTACCCTAAATAATTTTACACATTATCAGATTTAGATTTAATAAGTTTTCAAAATAATATATTTTAGACAACTTTAGAATTTTTAACTATTTGTTTGTTTTTAGTATCTTTAGAATTTAGATGTTGTTCTGTCTATCCTGTCTTTTGTCCTTAATCAGTGAGTGCAAAGTTACCAGTGACTTAAAATAAATGTCACAGTGAATTGACTTTTGTTGTTTCCTTCCATTCTCTGTGCGCAAATTAAATCTCCTGTTTTTGCCTCTACAAACCCTTTCCTGATTTATTCAACTTCTGCTTCCCCAAATTTTTCCTTCTTGATGATGACATATCCTTTATCTCAGGGTTCTCAAGTAACATCCCCAAACCAGAAGGATCTTATCACTTCAAAATCTATTTAAAAATGTAAATTCTAGTTTGCCAGATTTGACAAGTAAAAATGTAACATTTGGGAATTATACCCCCCCCCCAAAAAAAAAAATGGTAGTTTATCTGAAATTCTCATTTACCGGGGCATCTTCTGTTTTGTATCTGGCAACCCTAGCCCCACCCCAGACCCACTAAACCAGAAACCTGGAAGTCTTTGTTTGAATAGCAGATAACTCTGAAATTGGAGAATCACTGCCATGTTTTTGTATCTCTTAAAACCTGAGTCTCATTCCTTAATATGTGTCCTCCCAATGAGTGCAGTGAAAGTTTGTAATGATAGATCTCCTTCTGATTAGCTTATTCCTAGGGTTACTGAGCAGTCTGTTCACAGCCTGCTATGGTCTCTATATAAATTTAGGAAATATTTATTATTCCGAAAAGTAAAAAGCAGTATCCTCAAGTTGTATGGATTCTACAATATTCTAAACTGATTTATTTTAGCCAATAATTTTATTCAGGATTATAGTCTACTGTGATCTTCTGTAGAAATGAGATTTTGGAAGGAGAAAGAAAACATCATTATTTACAACATATGATCACAAAACAGTCCCTCTCTGGATTTTATCCAGCCATGCGGGAGGGCTCCTTTCCTTTCTGCTTCACATTCTTAGAGAAGCTGGTGAGCTGAGACTGATCATTTGAAAGGGGGTAATAACAGGTAGTGACTGATTTTAAACCTGCAGCCCTATTAAACTCTGCAAAATAGGTCTTTATACTTATTTATTTGTCATCTATTTTGTGCAACATATTGTGCTAGAGTCTGTTTTCCCTATAGACTTTTTTCTTTTTGTGTGTTTCTGCCTCTACCCCAACCACTACAGTGAATTCTGTACCTCATATCTGAATCAGTACTTCTCTGTCCTTCCTTTTGTTCTTCTCGATTCTGACTACAGTAGGGAATTAGGTTATATTTAAGTGTTTGTTCTATTTACTAACTAAACCTTTGTTCCCTGTAATATTCTCTTAGTAAGAGAAAAGGAACTTAAGTTTGTTGTTTGTTTTAATATTTTTTAGTTGTAGATGGACACAATACCTTTATTTATTTACCTTTATGTGGTGCTGAGAATGGAACCCAGGGCCTCACACATGCTAGGCAAGTGCTCAACTACTGAGCCACAACCCCAGCCCTGTTTTTTTGTTTGTTTGTTTGTTTGTAAGAAGGCTTTTTCTTCATTATTCTCCCTCTTCTCTCCCCACATACTATGATTAGTAAAACAAAGCCACTTTAGTCTCAGCTTTGATCTTAAATTTTATATTTCTGTGTTCTATTGGTATATGTCATATTTCATTAATTATCTGAAACAATAAAAGATACTAAGCCATCTTCTAAGTCAGAGGTAAAGCTCAATGCGTTGGAGCACACCTGTAATCTTAGCAACTTGGGAGGCTGAAGCAGGAGGATTACAAGTTCAAATACAGCCCTGGCAATTTGGGAATCTCTTGTCTCAAAATAAAAAATAAAAAGGACCAGAAAATAGCTCAGTGGTAGAGCACCCTGGGGTTCAATCACCAGTACTGCCAAAGCAAAGCAAATGAATATTCTTATATCATGATACATAAAGAGCCAAAAGTAAACATTTTAGGCTTTGGGAAGCATTTGGTCTGTCGTAATTACTTAACTCTGCCTAGTACAAAACCAGCAATGGACCATATATAAATTAATAGGTATAGTTGTTTTCCAATAAAACTTTGTCCACAAGGTCAGGTGGCAGACGTAGTTTACCAAACCCATTCTGGTATGAATCCCATAATTGACCATCACAACAAGTATAATACAGCTGCCTCCTCCAGCATACTAAAAAGCTATTGGGAACAAGTAACTATTTTAAAAGAAAGTAATAAGCGATTTTGCCAGCAGAATTTTTCGTTGCTAAACTTTTAAAAAATAAAAGCATCGTGATGTGTGACTATAGTCCCAGACCCTCAGGAGGTTGAGGCACGAGGATGGCATGATCCCAGGAGTGCGATAGCAGAAATTTCAGCTACTTGGGAGGCTGAGCTACTTAGAAGGCTGAGGCTAGAGGATTACAAGTTTGAAATCAGCCTTGGTAACTTAGCAAGACTGTCTCAAAGTAAAAAGTTTAGAAAGTGCTGGGAATATAGCTCAGTGGTAGAGTAACCCTGAGTTTCAATCCCTAGTACCACCAAAAAAAAGAGGTCATCCTGGGCAATATAACAAGACTGTGTCTCTAAAATAATTTGATTTAACAAAAGTAAAGCAGTTATACTCCTGAACAAAAATAAGGTAAATCTGCAAAGCATTCCATGTTTTCCTATGAGGGAATAGTGTAGATGATGTTCTGTATCTTGATAAGGACTTCAGTATGAAGGCATTCATTTCTCAAATTTCAATAAATGTATATATTTGTACATTTCATTGTATATAAATTTTACATCACAAGAAAAACCTATAAACAAATAATGAACTCTAGAAAATGATAAACCTACTGGCTGAGTTATTTAGTATTTTTATATCTGCCATTTATTTGAAAATGTACCAAAAATAAGATGAATTAATGGATATGGAAGTGTGTTGTAAAATGTTTAATGCTTGAATGCTAGGTCATAGGGATACCAGTTTTTAGTGTAAAATTAAAAAGCAAATTATTTTACCTTTTTTTTTTTTTTTTACTTTTTACAGTGCTGAGGATTGAACCCAGGATCTTATACATGCTAGGCAGGTGCTAAAAAAGCAAAACATTTTAAAAACAAGGTTATCCTTGTTTTTAGGAAATATTTGCTGAAATTTTGAAGGGTGAAATCTCAATATCTGAAATGTATTTCCAGATGATTCAGCAATGTATACGTTTATATTGAAAGAAAGCAAGTCATGGGAGAAAATATTAATTAAGAATCAAGGAGGCTGCTTCATAGTGGGGTATAGAGAGGGGGCATGGGAGGAATAGACAACTCTAGATAGGGCAGAGGGGTTGGAGAGGAAGGGAGGGGACATGGGGTTAGAAATGATGGTGGAATGTGATGGTCATTATTATCCAAAGCACATGTATGAAGACATGAATTGGTGTGAATATACTTTGTATACAAACAGAGAGATGAAAAATTGTGCTCTATATTTATAATAAGAATTGTAATGCATTCCACTGTCATATAAAAATCAGGGCCCAGTGCTGTGGCATACACTTATAATCCCAGCAGCTCGGAAGGCTGACACAGGACATCCAGAGTTCAAAGCCAGCCTCAGCAATGGCGAGGCCCTAAGCAACTCAGTGAGACCCTGTCTCTAAATAAAATACAAAATAGGATTGGGGGTGTGGCTCAGTGTTTGAGTGCTCCTGCGTTTAATCCCCAGTACCCCCCACCACCACCAAAAAAAGTAATCAGGATTTGAGGGGTGTAGCTTGGTAGCAGAGCACTTGCCTAACATTCCAGAAGCAGGGGGATCAGAGTGAAGGGTGAGTTTAAGGGTATTCATTTTGCTACCCTTTTGATTTCTCTGAAAGTTTGAAAATTTCAAAGTAAAAATAGGAACAAATAAAACTCATAAGCAGTTACCCAGTGACATGGTACTTAAACTAAAATATCAGAATAGTATTAATTTTTTATTTTTTTAATATCTTTTTTAATTGTAGATGGACACAGTACCTTTATTTTGTTTATTTATTTTTATGTGGTACTAGGATTGAATCCCGGGCCTTGCACATTCGAGGCAAGCGCTCCACCGCTGAGCCACAGCTCTAGCCCCAATTTTTTATTTTTCCATTGGCTTTGAAATCTAGGCTAAGCTAAATACTAAGGTACAAGGTGAGTAAAAGAACAGATCTCAAGTTTGAAGATGTTGTTTCTAAGGAAAAAGTATAATACTGAATAACTAGTAAGCATTTTGGTTTTATCTTTACAGAGCAAAAGCTAATAACAGTTATTTTGTTGAATTATTTTTGGGTTGGGGATGTAGTTCAGTGGCAGAGCGCTTGCCTAGCAGCAACTGTCAGTCCCTAGGTTCAGTCCTCAGCACGTCAATAACAACAACAAAAAGAACCTCTTCTGAAATTAATTAGAATTTAGTGAATGATAAATGTGTCATAAATCAGTGGGAATCAAAAATATTTTGAATTGTGCTAGGACAAGTGCTCTTTGGGGAGAAAATAGCTACAGATGAATATATAATTTGGAAATGATAAAAGACTTTAAGCATAATAATATGTGAATAAACTACAAAGAGAAGTACAGATCTGTATATCAAAACATAAACTGAAATACTTTAAAAAGTACATTTAAAAGGAAACTAGCCTGGCCCAGTGGCACATACCTTAATCCCAACAATTTGGGAGGCTGAGGCAGTAAGATTACAAATTTGAGCCCAGTCTGGGCAATTTAAATTTATCAAGACCCTGTCTCAAAATTTTAAAAAGGAGCTGGGAATGTGGTTCAGTGGTAGAGCACCCCTGAGTTTAATCCTGAGTGCCACAGAGAGATAATACTGAAGCATCTTTTCAATTAATATACAAAAGAGATTGGTAAACACATGTGTTTGCAGTTTTTAAAACCTCCTGAAAGATGAATATAGGACATAAATGAATTCACAAAGCAAAAGACAGTTCAGTTTGACCTAGTGACCAGGGACCTTTAAATAGAATCTTAGGAAAATGTATGCCCTTTGATTCAGAAACTTCTCAGATTGTAAGGAAATTACCTCTTTTATGTTTGAGGTTGTTCAACACATTGCTTATACTTACAAGAACAAAGTAATGTTTTTTTAAAAAAAAAAAAACAGGTAAGGGGCTAGATAAATTGTTATATCCACATGATGTATTATAAACCATGTTTTAAATAAATATTTAATAGCATATAAAATTATTCATGCTATAACAGAAGAAAAGCAGGGGCTGGGGATATAGCTCAGTTGGTAGTATGCTTGCCTCATATGCACAAGGTCCTTGGTTCAATCCCCAGCCAGCACCACAAAAATAATAATAATAGTAACAGAAAAAAAAGTAGTATCTATTATAGATCAATATAGATATCATATTCCTAACTATATTATAATAACTGAAATTTGTATGTATTATAATAACTGAAAATAAGCATATCAAAGGAATTAAGAATGTTGGTAGATAATCTTCATTTTATACCTTTCTAAATATTTCAATTCTCAAGCATAAGCTAGTATTGTGAAGTAATTCTGTGGGCATCCTTTCAAATTAATGTATAACAAAACATTCATGTAGATGAAAATTTGACATATTTACAACCTTTCTAATTTCTTTCAATAACACTACCCTGTTTTTAGAGCATGATCCCCTTTTCCAAGGCCACAATCATCTATAGCCCATGGGAAGAGGCTAAAGCAGGGATCTGCCTTCGTTTTCCTCCAGCACTAGTTTTCTAAATGGGAAGCCATGTGACTCCTCAAAATGTATCCTCTCCTCCGAATGCTTTCTGTGTAATCCTCACAGGCAGGATCTGGTTACCTGTGCAGTTATGAATTCCCACAAGTTAAGCAGATCATTGTCTCTAGTCCTACCCAATTTAAAAGTTCTTGGTAAAATTTGACCCTGTCTCCCACAAATAAGTGTATTGGTGTTGATTTGGGAAAATATATATATATAATATTACTATTTTTAAATTGATGGTAACCAGCAGAGAGATGTATTATACTTTAGCTGTGAAATCATCTATTATAGTTTTACATATATGCATATAATTATTTTTAGCAGTAAATCAAAACAGGACTCTTGGGTAAATAGCAGTTATTGGACAAATCTGAACATCTGAAAGGAAAAAACACCCTTAAAATAGAAGACCAAGAGAATTAATATATGGAGGAAAAATGTTTACCCTCTTTTTTTTTTTATTCATTTAACTAAAACCATTTTTTTTCTGGTGGCCTACTTTGTACAGTCCAATCTACTTTATCTGTGAGTGGATTAAATACTTAGCAGATTAAAAATAGAAACCCCAGACCTTGCCAGCACTGTTCCCTGCCTGTTGTATACATTGGTACTGAACACAGAGGCAAATCTAAATATACTTGTTTTATCTGTATTTCAAAAGCAAACATAACTTGTTTATGAGCTGCCCAAAAAGCAGTTGACCGTTTTACTTACATTTATAAGTTGAAATTTTCAGTTTAGACCTGAGAATATCTTTAGGGCTCGGCAGTGGCACATCTAGGCAGCAAAGCCTGCAGACCTCATGAACATATTTCAGTTAAAGCACAAATAACTAACACATAACAGTTGCTGTTCTAGATGGCTTTTGTTAACGTGGCTTATAGCTATTGATACTTACCATGTTATAAATCAGAATTAAAAAATCACTGGGCTGGGGTTGTGTAGAGCATTTGCCTAGTACTTGTGAGGCCCTGGGTTTAATCCTCAGCACCACATGAAAATAAATGAATAGAATAAATAAAACGTATTTAGAAAGAAAGAAATCACTAAAATACATATTTTTAAAAATAATAACATTTTTATGAAAATGTTTACATTCAGTCTATTGTTATAGCACATCATACATCTTCTGGGGAAAAAAAACTACATTTTTGAGAGAATGAGGATGAAATAATTTCCTAGTATTATTATTAAAATGGTTTTAATCTCACAGATGCCCTGAAAGGATCTTGGGGCTCAAGATGTTTGAGAACCATTGTTATATTTTCATTCAAACCTTGTAACATTCAAAACTTGTAACTATTTTCACAATGCAGGCATAGATACATATCTTACATGTGCCAGATTTTATATCCAATAATGATGAAATTATTATTTACATTTTTGACAAAAAAATTGGTTTGCAGCTCAATAAGATTATAGTTTAAAATTAATTAATGTCTTTGTTTCTTCCTTCCCTCAGGTGTATTTGGTGTCAGAAAACAGTACATGATGAGTGCATGAAAAATAGCTTAAAGAATGAAAAGTGTGATTTTGGAGAATTCAGAAATATCATCATTCCACCAAGTTATTTAACTTACATTAACCAGATGCGAAAAGACAAAAAAACAGATTATGAAGTGGTAATTAGAGATTATTTTTCTTATATTATTATTTCTATAAAGTTAAGGCAGTGTATGAGATTGTTAATTCTGCATTTGTGAGAAGAATCAGAGCCAGAAATAAAATAAATAAAAGATTAGCCAAATTATTATATTATATATGTGCAGATATGTGGCAATAAATCCCATCATTAGGTACAAATATAATGCACCAATTAAAAAATGTGGGGGGAAAAAAATAAAAGGTCAAGACCAAGAAGAGATGTAAAATAAATACCTTTATGGTAAGCTATAAAACCCTACCAATTCCTAGAGGTGTGATAAAATTTTGGCTCTTGAGTTCTTTCATGCCTAGAGGGAGATCAAAAATGTACTAGTGATTTCTAAATCACTGCCTGCATTTGAACCTAGCTTTTTAAAAATAGATTCCTAAAGCCAGGCATGGTGACACATGCCTATAATCCCAGTGACTCAGGAGGCTGAGGCAGGAGGATCAGAACTTCAAGTCCAGTTTCAGCAACTTAGCAAGGCCCTAAGCAATTTAACAATACCCTGTTAAAATGTAAGAACAAATGGGGATGTACTTGATGGTAAAGTGCTCTTAGGTCCAATCCCCATTACCCCCAAAAAATAATTCCTTAGTCCAGTTTCATTGTCATGTTTGACTTAATAGATCTAGAGTAGAGCCCAGAAATCCATATTTTTTTAAGGTCCTCACATAATTCTGATGAACAGCCAAATTCGAAATTCATTATTGCAGTGAAAAGAAAATATGGATTTTCCTCACACCTTGTTCTAAAAGAATTTTCCATGTGGAATTCTACATGAGGTCTCTAAAAAAAAGTTTATATTGCACATTGGATGCTCCAACAAATAATACCAGACATTGAAGTTGTTGGTGAAGGATTTGCAGTGTGTGTGTGTGTGTGTGTGTGTGTGTGAAAATCAATGTAAAAATATCTCTCAATCTTTATGTACCTCTTAAAGAATAATTATAAAAATTTATATATATATATATATATATATTCCCCTACTTGAATATGCCAAAATAATTGAACTGTTTTGCTTTACAATTAAATGGTACTTTTTCAAATTAAGTATTTATATCTTAAAAGTCATTGTTGTCAATATTCCTGCAAGGAAAAATGCACTTTAAAATTTTTAAACCTTAATATTGTTAAGATACACTTTTTAAAAAATGTACAGCCCCTTATCTGAATTTAATCTGAAATTATAAGAGGTATGAGAATCACTCAGTTAAAACCACAGAATGACTTTATTAATGTTGAAATCTATAAAGAGAGGGTAAGAGAAGAAATGGTTAGATTATACAAATTTATTTGGCTTTTGGCTATTACAAGTATGAATTTTTGAATCCACTTTTGAGTACCCCATTTAAAAAAAAAAAACTTTCAACTAGAATATAACCAGCAAAGGAAAATTAAGCAAGAAAAGAGATCAAAGAAAAATCCATATCAATATCCGTTAGATGAATGGTTGAAAGGACTTGAAATGTATTGCTGAGAGACAAACTCATGTTACAGGTACAGCATCCCTAATCAAAAAATGCAAAATACAAAATTTTCTGACTGCTGACATGACACCACAAATAGAAGATTCTAAACTTGATGGGTTGTGGTCAGAATGTAGGCACATTAAAAACATTGTGTAAAATTACCTTTCTGCTGTCTATAGAAGGTATATGGGAAACAAGAATTTCATGTTTAGACTTGGACCTTATCCCATTATGTATATGCAGATATTCCAGAATCAGAAAATATTCTGATTCCAGGAATTTCAGAAAAGGAATATTTAACCTGTACATTGCTTCAGATGTTTAAACACAGCCGTTATGTGGAAGAATAAGTAATTTCCAGTTGCTTTAGAAGCAAAATTAGAACAATGAATGCAAGTTATTGAAAGACTTTAGACTTTCACCTCAGTTTAACCCAGAACTTGATACTATTTTAACAGTGGCATGGACTGCCTTGTTATTTCCTTCCTAACATATCTGAGCATATGCTGGAGGACTTACTTAAAGTAACATAGAGGAAAATTGTACATTAAGTTGGAAGGTTAATCTCTTAAGGTCTTCTTTTATTCTTAGAACTATTTGACTTTCATATTACATTGATAGTACTGGTATCATTGTTTTTTCAGCAAATTCCAGCACCATTGTTATCAATGAATGAAAAATGTTGTGTTTGTCATCTCTGAGACTTTTTTAACTCATTTTAATATTTTTAGCTAGCCTCCAAGTTTGGAAAACAGTGGACCCCAGTAATAATCCTGGCCAACTCCCGCAGTGGAACTAACATGGGAGAAGGACTGTTGGGAGAATTTAGGATCCTGTTAAATCCAGTCCAGGTAATTAAACAGATCACCTTCCTTTCTTTATTAATCTTTGCATTTTCAATTTCCCTTGAATTCAGCATTTACTAATTCTTTAAGTCACTAATCATGTAGTAACAGGAAAGAATGATAATTATAAAACTATCAAGCCATTCAGATGTGTGGAAAAACAGAAACTATATTACCTAGCAATCCTACTTCCATTAATCTACCTAAGGGAAATGAAAACATGTTCCCCAAAAACTTGTATGCAAATGTTCATCGCACATTAACTGGAAACAGTTCAACTGTCAATCAGTCGGTGAGTGGATTCACAAAACCTGTGCCCTCAAATAAAATGGAATACTGTTCAGTGATACAAAGGAATAAGTTATCTATTACAGTAAATAAGCTTCAAAAACATTATGCTAAGTGCAAGAAGCCAGGCTCAGGCAAACACATATTATACAATTCATATATGTGACCTGTCCAGAAAAGGCAAATCAATAGTGACAGAGTAGATTGTTGTTGGCCTGAGGCTAAGGTTGGAAAGGAGGAGAGACCACAAAGGGCCATTGAAGAGTCTTATTAAAGCAATAGAAATGTTCTAAATTGGATTATAGTGGCAGTTTCACAACTTGATAAACTGAATAAAAATGGTAGACTTGTTTACTTCAGGTGAATTTTATGATATGTAAATTATAACTTCATTTTTTAAATTTTAGAATGGAAACTAGGCAATATGATATCATAAATGGACTCAAGCATTCATTTATTTACACAAGCAAATGATTTAACCTTCCTGCGTGCCTCAGTTTCCTGGCCAATAGAATAAGAACTCCTACTTTGTCTGTGTGGGGCATAAGCCTCAGTGAATATATAAAGTGCCTGGCATGGTACCTGACATGTTATTAATGATAAATACACAGTGGCCAGTTATTAGTTAACCGTATGCCTACTCATCTACAGGGAAATAATCTCTCAGATGAAGGACAATTTGTATAAAAATAATTTTTTTCTTGTTCTTTCATTTCTAGGTTTTTGATGTAACGAAAACTCCTCCTTTCAAAGCCCTACAACTTTGTACTCTTCTTCCTTATTATTCAGCTCGAGTACTTGTTTGTGGAGGAGATGGGACTGTGGGCTGGGTCCTGGATGCAGTTGATGAAATGAAGATTAAGGTATTTGTCTTTAAGAACCGCTGTAACGGGGATGTAGCTCAGTGGTGGAGCACTTGTCTAATACAAGGACCTTGTCTAGTACAAGGACCTTGGTTCCGTCCCCAGCACCAAAACAAAACAAAAAAGAAAAAGAAAAAACAAACCACTACTACAGAAGCATTTCTAAGATTAATTATACAGTATTGTTTTAATTATGAAGGTAAATATTAGAAGACATCACCAATTCAAATGGATAAGGATGGGATAATGTGATAAAGTAGTTAGTACAACCTAGAATTGTTATATTTGTGTCTTTATTGCTTTGGTTTTCAAGTTTTACAAAATATTATCTTATACATTATTTAAAGAGAAAATCTGAAGTATGTCTTCCATGTTCTAGGGACAAGAAAAATACATTCCACAAGTTGCAGTCTTGCCTCTAGGAACAGGCAACGATCTGTCCAATACACTGGGTTGGGGTACAGGTTACGCTGGAGAAATACCAGTTACACAGGTCCTAAGAAATGTAATGGAAGCAGATGGAATCAAACTAGATCGGTAAGTTACACTTTGCCAAAAAGTGTATTTCTTGAGCATTGGGAATAGTATCTGGTTTGTAAATGAAGACTTGTGTAGCTGTGAACTTAAATGTAATTTGAATGTAAAAGATTATATTAATTTTACTTATAAGTAGATGCTGATGTCTGTCTTTGTTATTTTGTAAGGTCCAAAGGCAAAGTATGCTGAGTACTTTCTCAAAATTTGCATTCTTTCTCAGATGTGGTTACTTTCTCTAATGTTATTTTAATAGAAGAACCTCCATCCAGAGTACTGTTTTTGGTTTAAAAGTTCTGATTTTTTTTTTTTTTTTTTTTTTACTATCTTCCAGATGGAAAGTTCAGATAACAAATAAAGGATACTACAACTTAAGGAAGCCTAAGGTATGTTTTTAGTGCTTCTGTTATGAATAGTTTTAGCAAACAGACATGGAATGTCCACAGTGCATAAGTTGCAGCACTATCTAGTAGGATGCAGAGGCCTGGTGCTTATCTGGAGGGAGCTGGTAATGGAACAGAAGAGATCATGTGCCCACCTCACTAGCTTCTGTAAAAGGTGCTGTGGGGAAGAACAAGGTGCAGGCATACCTCCTTCTGCCTTGGCAGATAAGGCTGAGGAAATTACAGAGGAAGTGATGTGGGAGCTGGTCCTTAAAAGATTAATACAGTTTAGATCAACAGAGAAGGGAACAAAGGACTTTCCACAGAAGGAATAGTTAAATAGTGTGAGGCGTGGTTAGCAAACAGCAAATAGTACAGAGATAATGGATCTGTGTTTTGTTTTTATTTGCAGTGCTGGTGATCATACCCAGGACCTTGCTCATGCTAGGCAAGCACTCTCCCACTGAGCTACAGCCCCAACCCAAATCTGTATTTCAAAAAGATATTCTGGAGATAGTGTGAAAATAAGTTAGAAGCCGCATGAGAGCATTAACAAGGAGAATCTTAGAATGAGGACAATTCAAAGACATTTTAAAGCTGGAGTTGATCAAGCCTAAGATGAGAGAGAGAAAACGCATATTACTACTAGAGTTCTGATTTTTATTATTGGATATATGGAAACGGCATTAACCAAGATAAGAAAAACAGGAAGTTTCAGGCTTAGGTAGGAAGAAAATAGTTACATTTGGGGAATATCAACTCAAATAGCTATAAGTTGGAAGTTTGAGCTTGTTAACTCAGGAATAAGAACAGAGCTAGACATATAGATTGGGGCGTCCAGGCTAGGTCGGGAAATAAGATAAACTAACTAACTATAGCCTGGATTGAGACTGATAGAAACTGAGAGTTGCAAAGAAGGTTTGAAGCAAATGCATTGGGACTGTCAAAGTGAAACCCTCGGTGCACAGAGGAGAGCCTTTCTAGATGCTGGGGTATGAGTGTGGCATAGTAAATAGAAATGGAAAGTCAGATTCATATTCATAGTTACCAGCCTAGAACTAAAGTTTGTTTCTAGTAACTTCACCAGAGAGTATAAAGTAGCTCTGTGTGAAAAATTTTAAAAGTACTTGATTTTCAAAAAGGACCAAAAGACTAAGATTTACATATTGAAGTGTGACACCGGCTTGCAGAGAGCACAGTCTATTGCTTATCCTTACTCTTTCTCACAGGAATTCACAATGAACAACTATTTTTCTATTGGACCTGATGCTCTCATGGCTCTCAATTTTCATGCTCATCGTGAGAAGGCACCATCTCTGTTTTCTAGCAGAATTCTTAATAAGGTGTGTTGGATAAAATAACATTTCCTGCTTATCACTGAAGGTACAGTAAAAATCAATAGTTCAATTATATTTAGTACTCTTAGATCTCTTAGATTCTAGTTGAACTAACTTATAGAAACATTTACCTGCTCTATTGTGTAGGACTGTCAAGTTAGATTCTTTTTTTTAATATTTTTTTAGTTGTAGTTGGATATAATACCTTTATTTTATTATTTTTATGTGATGCTGAGGATTGAACCCAGCGCCCCACATGTGCTAGGCAAGTGCTCTACCACTGAGCCATAACCCCAGCCCTCGAATTAGATTCTTAAATGTATTTTATTAACTGGAACACATTTTTATTTTATTTTATTTTTAGATATCAATGGACATTTATTTATTTATTTATTTATTTATATGCAGTGCTGAGAATCGAACCCAGTGCCTCACACATGCTAGGCAAGTGCAGATTTTTGAAAATTCAATGTTGGAATGTTTTTCAACATATTTTGTTTAGGTGAAAAGTAAATATATGATAACTTATATAAATGGCAACTGAAATTGGAAAGGCAGTTAGAGTAAAATTTTAGTTAAGTCATTAATGAAAAAATATAAACCATTGGCTTATATCCATAAGACAGATGAGGTAAGGAAAAGAGCACTTGTTTACTGTGACTCTTGCTAAGGTCATCACTCTGGTTTTGGGCACAGTCAGTTCCTTTAATAGAAGCTTTGTTTTGGATTTGTTTGTTTTATTTAGAGACATGGTCTCACTGAGTTGTTTAGCACTTCGCTTTTGGTGAGGCTGGCTTTGAACTCATGATCCTCCTGCATCAGCCTCCTGAGCCACTGGATTATAGGAGTGCACCACTGTGCTGGGCTCAGAATTTTTTTTAAATGACTTTAATGATAGAACAAAAGAATGTGAAAAATAAATACAACCAGGCATGTTAGCGCACATCTGTAATCTCAGCAACTCAGGAGTCGGAGGCAGAGGAACCCAAGTTCAAGGCCAGCCTCAGCAACTTAGCAAGACCTTGTCTCAAAAAAATAAAAAGGCTGGCAAGGCATGGTGGTGCATGCCTGTAATCCCAGTGGCTTGGGAGCCTGAGGCAGGTGGATGTGAGTTCAAAGCCAGCGTCAGCAACTTAATGAGGCACTTAGCAACTCAGCAAGACCCTGTCTCTAAATAAAATATTTAAAAGGGCTAGGGATGTGGCTTAGTAGTTGAGCAACCCTGGGTTCAATTCTCAGTACAAAAAAATTAAATTAAAGCAAAATAAATAATTCTATTCCTGGGCCTATTTTACAAATATTTCAAATTTTATTTCATTCTCTTTTATTATAGTTACTAAAGCAATAAATATTGCTATTTATATAACTGATAATTAACTTTTCTGTACTTCTGTCAACCTTGTATTCAATATTTATATTCAAAATGAATCATTAAATATTTGCTTAATTTATCTGCATTTTCCTTAAGTAATTGGAGTAATCAGCAGAAAAACATCATTTAAACATAAACCACCCCTATTCCTTCTGAAAAACAGACTAAACTTTAAACTAATAGCCTATAATCCCAGCTACTCTGGAGGCTGAGACAGGAGGATCACAAGTTCAAGATCTGGGCAACTTTAGCAAGACCCTGCCTCAAAATTAAAACACTAAAAGGGCTGGGCTATAGCTCAGTGGTGTAGTACTCTGGGTTCAATCCCCATTACCACCAAAAAAAAAGTATGGCCTTTATTGTCACCCAAAAGAGGGATGATTAACATTTCCTCTGTTCTACTACAGTTCAACTCTTGTTTTCATTTTCAGAAAATGTATAATTTAATAAATATTGTATAATTGGAATCTTGCCCTGAGTGTACAGTCCAACTGGGGAGATAATGATCACGGGAACAAATTTTTTAAATGGCAGTATAATGTGATATCAGCATAACGTCAGACTTGTTTAGGAAAGAGAAAGGTGGGAAAGTTTCCAAAGAAGCTCAGGTGCAAGGGCCAGACTTGAGTCTCCTGAAGAATGAGCAGCATACCTAGGAAGAGAGACCATGGACTCATCCTAAACTGGGGCTACTGATCTTATTTCTTTTTTGTACCAGGAATTGAACCCGGGGCACTCTACCACTTAGCCACATCCCCACCCCTTTTTTACTTTTTTTTTTTTTTTTTTTGGAGACAGAGTCTCACTGAGTTGCTTAGGACCTTGCTAAGTTGCAGAGGCTGACTTTAAACAGGAGAATCCTCCTGCCTCGGCCTCCCAAGTCTCTGGGACTAAAGGCATGTGCTCACGTAGTACTCTTTAAGCCAAGAGTAGTAGCATAATAGAATGAAATGTAAAATGAAAAGGCTGCTAAAAGAGAATCACATACGGGGCTGTGGTTATGGCTCAGGGGTAGGGCGCTCGCCTAGCATGCATGAGGCACTGGGTTCGATCCTCAGCACCACATACAAATAAAATGAAGATACTGTGTCCACCTAAAACTAAAAATAAATAAATAGAGAATCACATACCGGAGCATCCCTTGGAGTGCCCTTCTGTCCATCAGTGTTCATTCCACTCCAAGGAAATGCTGTTCAAGGCAGAATGGGGAACTTTGTACAGTGTCTTTTTCTTAACATTTAATAGGGTTTGTGAGATTTGTTTTAATGTCATATTTTTGTTCATTTTTCATAGGCTGTTTATTTATTCTATGGAACCAAAGATTGTTTAGTGCAAGAATGTAAAGATTTGAATAAAAAAATTGAGGTAAGCCACAAATACCTTCCACAAAGTTTTAGATGTTTTCAGGATTATGAAGGTTTTTTAACAGAAGTGATGATTCTTCTTTTAAGTTACTTTGCTAACATATGTGGGGTATTGATTTGTATGCCAAGCACTTTGCTGAGTGCTTTGAACACATTATCCCTCTAAACAGTTCCCATAATCTATAAGGCAGGTAGTAGTATATTGCTATTACACAGAAGAGAAAACTAAATTTAAGTAATTTGCCCATATTCACACAGTTGGTTTCACAGGCATGGGTAGTCAGGTTTGAACCCAGGTTTATCTAACACCCAAATCTGTTTAACTGATATGTTCTAATGATTTGCACTTTAAGTTGTCTACTACAGTGAGTGCCTGATTTATCATAAATGCTCAGAAGACATTTAAATGCAAAGTTCAATTCAGACTGTTTTGGTGCGATATCTCTCTTATATACCTAAACAAAATAATACTGTACATGGTGGCACATTCCTGTAATCCCAGCTACTCAGGAGGCTGAGATAGGAGAATTGCAAATTTGAGGCCAGAATGGAGAACTAAACCTTATCTCAAAATAAAAAGATCTAGAGAGAGCGCTAAGTGGTACAGCACCCAGTACCAAAAAAAAAAAAAAAAAAAAAAAAAACAGAAAAAAGGAGTGATGGTAAAGGAGTGACGATAAGGACTAGGGATGTAGCTCAATAATAGAGGGCTCACCTAGCATGCATGAACCCTTGGTTCAATTCCCACCACCAAAGCAAAAATGTATAAACAGTAAAAGTAGAATTCTAGTTATTGATTATTGTTACAGTATACCTGATAACATGAGATGGCAAAACCTTATGTGTATTTCTTGCTTGCTTTTAAAAATAATCTTATGAGCTAAGGCTGTAGCTCAGTGGCAGAATGCTTGCCTAGCATATGTGAGGCACTGGGTTCAATCCTTAGCACCACATAAAAATAAATAAAGGCATTCTGTCCATAAAAAGTAATAACAATAATCTAATGGTTATAAAAACAACAAAGATGCTAATGGAGAGACCCAAAACTAGTAAAGTAAGTATGGGAATAAGTAAGATGGGAAGAGATAATAAACATATTAGAAAAAGAGAGAATAAAGTGAGCAGAGAGTAAGGAGCCAAATTTACATTAGCCAAGGAAAGCCATGCTGTTAGCAAACACTCAAGAGCCTGTGGGAGCCACACCACACAGAATAGTCAGGTTCTCCAAAAAGAAGGTCTTGGGCATCCCAGCTGCCCAGGAGGCTGAGGCAGCAGGATTGTGAGTTCAAAGCCAGCCTCAGCAACTTAGCAAGGCCCTAAGCAACACTGACCCTGTGTCTAAATAAAACACAAAATAGAGCTGGGGATGTGGCTCAGTGGTTGAGTGCCCCTGAATTCATTTCCCAGTACCAAAAAAAGGTCTCGGGATACTTTATTATATTTCCTTCTTTCTAGGCTTTTATAATATTGGTAGCACATATAAAATAGCACTTTATTTTGTTATCTGAGTTTTAATTTATACAAAGGTGTTTGTGAAGCCACCTGCAAAATGCAAGGTATTGTCCTAAATACTGGAGTTGCAGTGATAAATTCCTTCTCTAAGTTTACAGCCCAGAGAGAAAAAAGGTACTTAAATCACATTGCAACATAGTATGAGAAGCGATATTAAAAAAAAGCAGGTGGTCTTATAGGAGTTAGGAACTTCAGATACTTCTCTAAGGAAAATGACAATAACATGAAGTCATTCTAGAAAAAGTAACAAGCTGAAATCTAAAAATTAAGAATTAGCTAAGTGAAGAAGGTAGAGAAGATTGTTCTATGGTATGTTCTCCTTGCCTTTTCAGCCATGCAAACGTGGCCGAAGAGAGAACATGATATAGTAGTGTTCAAACAGAAGCATAGTAGCAAAAGCTAAAGATGGACAGAAACCAAATCACAGAGGTTTGTATTGGCCTATTAAGGAGTTTGAATTTTGTCATGAGCATAGAGTCAAGCCACTGAAGGGTTATAACATGGGGATTAGGTGCATTGTGTCAATCCAGTTGCTCTGTGAGGAGTGCACAGGAGAGAAGTAAAGCTAGTAATAAACAGACTGGTTAGAACATGCAGAAGAAGGAGATGATGGTTCTGCCCTAAGGTACTGTCCCAAATGATAGAGAAGTAGTATCAGCCAGGCACAATGACCTGTAATCCCAGCAGCTTGGGAGGCTGAAGCAGAAGGAACACAAGTTCAAGTCCAGCCTCAGGAACTTAACAAGGCCCTAAACAAATTAGTGAGACACTGTCTCAAAAAACAAAATGTGGTTAAGCAATCCTGGGTTTAATTCCTGGTACCCCCCAAAAAAGAGAAAAGTAGCCTCACCTGTTTTCAGATTGATGAATGTGGAGGAGAAAGGCATAGGGGGCCAAGATAAATCCCATGTTTCTGGCTTGGGGAAGGTGAGGGGTGTGTTGCTCTTCCATATGAAATAGGTTGGTGAGGGGAAGCAGGTTGCTGAGAAGGGTTTTGTCTGTTTTGTATATGCATCATAAATACCACAGTCAGGGCTGGGGATGTGGCTCAAGCGGTTGCGCGCTCGCCTGGCATGCATGTGGCCCGGGTTCGATCCTCAGCACCACATACAAACAAAGATGTTGTGTCCGCCGAAAACTGAAAAATAAATATTAAAAAAATTCAAAAAAAATAAAATAAAAAAATAAATACCACAGTCAGTAGAAGTGTTTTGTGGGCCTTTGAATATGGCCCAACTCGCCAGCTAACTGTGCCAGCAAAGTAGAACTGTCAACACAGAGATGGCTAAGACTGCCCCACAAAGCCTGCAACATGGAGAGAGGGGGCTTAGTACAGAGCCATGAGGAATGCCGTCAACAGGAGGCAGGATTTGAAGTTCTCAGGATTGACCAAAGAGGAACGTCCTGGCCAGAGGTAGAAGTCCCCAGCGAGCAAAGGAGTTTTCAGGTGCAAAAGAGGCTTCATTAGTGTCAGGTCAAAGGTAAGCTGTGAGTTAGACAAGGCCTGAAGAGAATGATGGAATTTAACAAAAAGGACATTATTAATGTCTTAATTAAACACAATTCCACTGACTGGATGTGTTGTACACCTATAATCCTGGCCACTCTGGAGGCTGAGGCAGAGGGATTATAAGCTTTAGGCCAGCCTGGGCAATTTAGTGAGACCCTCTCAAATTTAAAAATGTTTCACTGAGGAGGTGGGAAAGCCCAGACCATCTCCAGTGAGAGGTGGGAAATAGTCTTCTCCTACACTTGCTTCTCTCATGTCTTCTGTGTGATTCCAGCTGGGTATGTGTGGAAGTCATGCGCCTTGTGGTAACTAACTGCTTACATTTCTTTAAAGCTAGAACTGGATGGTGAGCAAGTACAGCTGCCTAATTTGGAAGGCATCATTGTTCTGAACATTGGCTACTGGGGTGGTGGCTGCAGATTATGGGAAGGAATGGGAGATGAGACTTACCCACTAGCCAGGTATGTGTATTCACAATCTCTTTTATGTCACCATTTTCTTTAAAACACCCTATTATTATAGACTTTCACATTTTTTTTCAGCTTTTCTTGTTTATATGCTCAGTAATATAAACATTTAATAGGTTGATGGCCCCATTTGTGTTAAAAAATAACTGCCCTTACTTGGCTGATTTTATTTCATTGCATCATATGATCCATATTTCCTTCTTCCATTGTTAGGAATGATGATGGTTTACTGGAAGTCGTAGGAGTGTATGGGTCGTTCCATTGTGCTCAGATTCAAGTGAAACTCGCAAACCCTTTTCGAATAGGACAGGCACATACAGTTCGGGTAGGTAAAATATGCTGTAATACTCTATTTTCAGACCATTCATCTGTTGAAGAAAGGATGCATGGTGTTGTTTTATCTAAACAGGTTTATGGCCCATGCTGTTGGTAACCCTACTTCAGAGGCTCGAGTGGGTGGGAAAGAAACAGGAAACATGGCCCTTAATCCAGTCAAAGAAATAAAGCATCTCCTGAAAATGAATCCCTAAACAATCCATGAATATTTTCATATATTCAGTTTAGTTTTCTAGAAATGAGATGCAGAAGGATTAAGGGACCATAGGTGGTATTAGTAAGGAAGATCTTTCTGAACTTCTTGGGACTGACTTTTTTCTAATTATTTTTTTCCTAACATCAGCTGATTTTGAAGTGTTCGATGATGCCAATGCAGGTAGATGGAGAGCCATGGGCCCAGGGGCCCTGCACTGTCACCATAACTCACAAGACACATGCTTCAATGCTGTATTTCTCTGGAGAACAGACGGACGATGACATCTCTAGTACTTCAGAGCAAGAGGACATAAAGGAAACTGAGTAGATAAATGAGAAAACGAAAACTTAGTATAGCATCTGCACAAGCCAGTAGATAACATGTTCATCCAAAAGCAGAAATTCTCTATCAGCTATTCAGTCTTAATTTCACTCATAGTATAATGGATATACATGTAAGGGCTGGGATCTAGCTCAGTGGTAGAGTATTAGCCTAATGCATGAGGCGCTGGGTTCAATCCCCATCACAGAAAAAAAAAAAAAAAATACAGTATTTAATGGGTACACATTTATGTAAATAGCATTCCCAAAACAGTCAAACTTCCAGTTAGTACAAAATGCCTATTCTCTTTTCAGCATACTTTGACCATGTTACTAACTTTGGAAAAATCACTAAAGATTACTTGAACATGAAATGTTTTTCATGGTTATATATTTTGAGAGTGAAGCTTACTCTGAAATACGCACTCTCATTCCTTATTCTTAAATAAAATATTTGATGGACAGGATGTGGGTAGAAAGATCATTTCCATCTTAATTTTTAATGTGGTGACACCATATTGTTTTAAAAAATAGCTTGCTGTTTTGAATGGAAATGGTTCATGTCAAACTGGCATGGTGAATGCTAGGCAGTCTCCTGCAGCATGCTTTTTCAAACCCTTAAAGGAGAAATGTAAAAGAAAGACAATGATCAAAATTTGCTTAAAGTGTTATAATTTTTATTGTTTGGTCATTTTTAGACTTCTAGATACTGTTTATTGTTTGATATTAATCCTGTCCATGACCATGTTGAGCTAAAGTTCAGTATTTTTTCATTTTGTTTTGTTTTTGTTTGCAATGCTAGGGATTGAACCCAGGTGCCCACGGATTCTAAGCAAGCTCTCTACCACTGAGCTACACCCCCAACCCAAGGATCTTTTTTTATATCAAAAGAGAACCAGATAGGGGGATTAATCTAAAATAAGATTTAGAGCGTTTTGGATTAAAAGCTACAAGTTCCAACAATTTTAAAAAAAAATGGTTAAAAGAAACTTACTGATCAGATTAATTGCTCAAAAAAGTTCAAGACTAACTCATGTTTTCAATATTCAATGGTCTTCTAAGATTTTAAAATAGGGTAGTCTTTCATATTTAAAACTCTTAAAAGAATTTCCCAGTGGGGAGGTAAGTGGATAGAAACCACTGCTAAAATGTTTATTATGTTCTATTTATTTTAAAATGAGAGATATATTTTTAACTTATTTATTATTTACCTTGTTGTGTGATACTTGTGTTTAGTGTTTACACTGTGTTATATAGTTTAATAAGTTAAATTGGTCACATAAATGATCCTGGTTATAATTAGATAAAAATCTGAAGTCAGGTGCAGTGGCACACATCTGTAATTCCAGAGATTTAGGAGACTGAGGCAGAAGGATCAGAAGTTTGAGGCCAACCTCAGCAACTTAGTGAGACCCTTTCTCAAATTTTAAAACAGGACTGGGGATGTAGCCCGGTGGTAAAGTGGCCCTTGGTTCAATCCCCAGTCCCAAAAAATAAAAAATACATGTAATAAAATCCTAGTTTAATTCTCCCAGAAATATTACCTAAATATTCTCATTCCTCTATGTTTAAAGTGGGTAGGGCATGAAAAGCACTGGCAAAGTGCTTTTGGATAAATGCAGACATTGTCCCTCAATACCAAAAACTTATGAGGGGCAGTTCCATGGCTGCCCGTTAGAGGGTGCTCTTCTGCCATTGTTAACCAGCTTTACCCTAAGGGTCTGCGGTTGGGCACACCCGGTGGGCCTCCAGCCTCGTGTTTTTCTGACAAATGGCCTATTTGTGGGCTTAATGGTCTTTCATGACAGTAATCTCTGAAAAACTAGAAAATCCCAGTGGCTCCCTTTAAGGGTCTGCTATGACCCACATGAACCATAAACTTCAATTTGAGTCACCCCAGGCCCAGACCACATTTTGAAAGAACTTTGCAATGTATGCAGTAATCAGTATGTTATATAAAATACTTTTACATTGTTAAATTAACCTCTTTCAGATGTCCACATGTGATGCTAAATTCTAGTATTGAAAGATTTTGTACACAAGTCTACTTTCAACTTATTCAGGCACCTTTCACATCAGGTAACCATGACAGACATAGTGGGAGAGTTTTGAAGATTTTCTTTTATGGGCTGATCATGTTTTGAGTATAATGAAGTTTATCCTTTAATTCATGATCAAAGTTTTTATAGTTACCACACTTTATTAATACATTGTTATATTTACTTTGTTGTAGGTTATACCTATAATTCATAGTGTTAATTGTAATCGAAGCAAAGTAAATAGTTTGGAATATCAGAATTAAAATAATCAAAATAACTATAATTTTTAATTGTTGAAATTACTCTACCATAATGTTACACTGGATTTAAGTTTATGTACAATGCCTTTATTTATTTAAACACATTTTTCAGTTGTAATCTAATGAGGTTTTTTTATTCCTGCTGACCCTTCATGAAATTTTTCTGCTGCCTTATTGATTCATTCAGGTTTAATTTTTATTTAGGAAAGTTATTTCGGAATACTATATCACAAAACATATTGCTATCTTTAATTTTAACAAAATTCACTTACTTTTTTAGCACTAGTTGCCCAGCACTTCAGATAAATGTATAGGCCTGTGCCTTGTTTAAATAAAAACATTTTGTAATAATTCATGTTTGCAAGTTATATATTAGGGTATTAATTGTTTATATTACCAGGGATTCTACATTTTATGAAATAATTCACCATAAGATTTTTCTGTTCCATTTAAAATTGTCTTGATATTAAAAAATAACTTCTACATTCTCAGGAAGAAATATGTGAAGTAAATCATATTTCCATATACTTTCATATTTCTCTCATCTTTTACTGCCCTAATACATTCCTAATTCCTCATAAATTTAGTGGCTTAAATACTGATTTCCTGGCAGCTCTTATAGATCCCTGAGGTAGATAATAATTTTCAGTGCTTTGTTATATTTAATAGGAGTCGTCTAGTAGTAAGATTACATGGTTTAAATTATTTAGGTTTTCTGCAACAATTAGATGTGAACCTTTATTGTAATGCTAATGTTTGTAAATTTTTTTATAGTTAAAATTATTTATTTTTATTTTTTTAGGATATGTCAAGAACATGTAGTGTTTACTTTCTGAAATGTATTTGCCTAGAATTGTAAAATATACTGTGACTTAGAAATTCCATAATCTCTTTTGCACTGTAAAAATTAATACTACCAGCATGTCAAGAAAAATAATTTGCATTTGTACTATAAAGTAAAATTGTATCTAATTTATGTTATGGGGATTTTAATTTGCACTAACTAGAAAACTTTAAAGGCTCTGTTAAAATACAGATTGATGTGGACTCAAATACCAAATTTGGCCATTCAATAGAATGGTTGATAGTTTTGTGCAATTGTCCTTCAAAATAATATTAAAGCAAGAACCAGCACTTTATATTCAGAAATGTTGTTTGAGACTTTTTTTTTCTTCCTATTTTCACCCAGCTTAGGACAGTGAAATGTTAATTTGTTCTTTAAATCTATAAATTTAAAAAGAAAATATAATTTTGTTACTATATCTCAATCCAAATGAAGTTACATGCTTAGCAATAAGACAGAAAAAGGTTTTTTATTTTACTTTTAAAAAGTGTGTCCCTGTGAGGAGCATGGTGATACACATCTCTAATCCACCACCTCTGGAAGCTGAGGCGAGAGGATTGCAAGTTTAAGGCCAGCCTTGACAATTTAGAGAGATCTTGTTTCAAAATAAAAATTTGTTAAAGGGCTGGAATTGTAGATCAGTAATAGAGTGCCCCTGGCCTCAATCGCCAGTACTGCAGGGTGGGGTGGGGGAGTATGCTGAAATCCCCCTTTAAGACCTGTCTTGTTGGGTTTTGAAATTTTTTTGTAGTGCTGGGGATTGAACCCAGGGTCTTCTTGTGCATTTAAGGCAAGCACACTACCACCTGAGCCATATCCCAAGCCCATTGTGTTTTTCAAAGTGTTCTCTCCTCAACATCAGAATCAGGTAGACAGGTCATTGAAATTACAGCTTCCTGAGCCCAACTCTGGATTTAATAAATCATTGTCTCTGGACTTGGGACATAGGAATCTCTTGGTATTAACAAGAACCCAGACATTTCTCCTGTGCATGGAAACCTGAAAGCTGTTGATGATCTGTGCCTCTTATATTCACCCAGATTATATTTTATATATATATATATATATATATATATATATATTTTTTTTTTTTTTTTGTTTTTTTTTTTTTTTTTAATGTGGTGCTGAGGATTGAACCCAGGGCCTCTCATATGCTAGGCAAGCACTCTACCGCTGAGGCGCAACCTCAGCATCCAGGGCTTTTGCCAGGAGAATACTGTACAAAAAAAAAATAATTGAATGTCCTTAAAATTGTTTTTCCTTCACTTTGCTAACATACTTCTTCACACGCAAATAAATCATTCTTCTAAGAACTCTGAAAAACTTGTTTGCATCCTATTCAAATTGATGTATTTGCTACCATATATAAATAGCCTCTGCTGGGGCCAGTGGCACACACCTGTAATCCCAGCTGCTCAGGAGGCTGAGGCAGGAGGATCATGAGTTCAAAGCCAGCCTCACCAAAAGTGAGGCACAAAACAACTCAGTGAGACCTTGTCTCTAAATAATTAAATACAGGGGCTGGGGTTGTGACTCAGAGGCAGAGCACAGTGCCTAGAGGCACTGGATTCGATTCTCAGCACCACGTATCAATAAACAAAGGTTCATTGATATCTAAAAAAAAATTATAATAATAATTAAATACAAAATAGGACTGGGGATGTAGCTCATTGGTCGAGTGCCCCTGCGTTCAATCTCCTCTACCAAAAAAAAAAAAAAACAAGGATAGGAGGTAGCTTTAGTAGTAGAGCATTTGCCTAACATATGAAGCCCTGAGTTCAATCTTGAGGATGGGGGACTATATTTTAAGATTCTGGGGAAAGAATTTTTAAAAGTCACCCTATTACAACATGTTGCTGGTACTCAACCAAGGACATTTCCCCAGTCAGAAAAGATACCCTGAGCTACCTCCCTATTAAAGGAAGGTGCCAGTGCAGAATGCACTAAACAGGAGAGGAGCCATAATCTAGAAAATTTTCATCGTGTGGGTTGTACTTCTGGGGGACTGACATAGAATGTTGAAAAGGGTGAGCTGGAAAGTTCTGTTTTCCTTGTTCCTCTAGCATTATC